CCGCTGATCAAGCATTGGCGAAGCGTCCTGGCTCGCCTATAGCCCTACCAAACAATGTTCTAAGAACCTTTTGTGGTTCCTACGGGATGTTCTCAGAACATCTCTGATTGGGACTGTGTTGGTTTAACACATCGGATTAATGTTCTAAGAATGCTGTTTTTGTTCTTAGAACATTTCTGGGTTCTATAAGAACATGTCGTGGTAGGACTATAGGAATGCCGGGACGGTCGGTCCCTGCTCAAGCTGAGCAGGCGCCCGAGTCAGGAGGAGTTGCGGCCCCCCACACCGCAATTGGCTACCAACAGCACGACCACCGCGACCACCTGCCACGACAACAATAACCACCACGACGACGCGCCCACTACAGTCGGCCCTGATTAGTAGGTCGACCCTGCCAGCTCAGGGGTACCCTTGTGTCCTGTGCCTCGCGACACGCGCCTTCCTACACTCCCATGGCAATGTGGCCCTCGGAAGGGTCTTGTGCCCTCTCGCGTGTCCTGTCCAATAAGGCCGACTGTACGAAGACCACCACGACGACGCGCCCACTACCGTGGATGTAAAGAATTAACGCGAAATCAATTCGTAACGTTGGATTTCTCCATTCAAAGGCCTCAGGAATAATGCTTCGGTAAGATGTCTGGCAGCCAATGAAAATGTGAAAAAAAACGCGAACCACGGAAGAACTGTTCCTTCACCCGTGGCGGGCAACGCCGAGGTTGTGTTCTATCTCTTTGCATGGCGGAGTTCAACGTTACGAATGGTCTTCGCGTTAATTCTTTATAGCCACGGTACCGCGGCCGCCACCACGGCCACCACCCGCGCGACGACAGCCACGGCACCCCTGCGACGAGGCACGGCCACCATCACGACGGCCACGACCACCACCACGACGGCCGCCTCCGTGACGACGCTACGCCCGCCACTCGCCGCCCTTCCCTTCCCTGCTGCCTCCGCACCTCACAGATTTATTCAGATCGACATATGTGGCATCCCTGCCATGTGCGCCGTGGTTCTGCTCCTCGTCCTTCTCGTCCTCCTCCCCCCTCCTGCGCCCGAGCTGCTCCGGCAGCCCAGACGATCGCCTCAGGCGTTCGTCTGGGCGGTCCGCATTGCTCCTTTGAGCTCCGACCTGAGTCGTTTTTTTTGTTCGGCAAGGGCCCCCATCTCGGTTTGGCACCTCGGCCCGCCACCGGCGTTTACTGCCCGGGCCCCGTTGGCCTTGAGTGCTTTTCGGAGCATCCTTCCTTCCCGTTCCCCCCCCCCCTCCGTGGGGAGGAGGGAAGAGGGAGGGCAGAGGGGGGAGGGGGGGGGCCAAGCTAGGTGCGCTCGCGTCATATCTGACGTCCTACCCCTCCCTCCCATCCCTTACCATGGCGCTGATTTTCTCTATCCGCGGACGCGTGTCGTAGCGGACCTGTGGCTCCGCGCGCGCGTGCGTAGTGGGTGGTGGTGCGCGTGCGTGCGTGCGTGCGTGTGTGCGTGGTTGTGGTGGTGCTGGTGCTGGTGCTGGTGCTGGTGCTGGTGCTGGTGCTGGTGCTGGTGCTGGTGCTGGTGCTGGTGCTGGTGCTGTGTGGTGGTGGTGGTGGTGGTGGTGGTGGTGGTGGTGGTGCGGCGCGGTGGTGGCGGGCGGATGGGCGCGCGAGAAAGAGGCCCGCGCTGGGGCGAGAACGCCATCCTGAACGACGGAGGCCAAACACCGATCCGAAAATGAGGCCCACGCTGCAGCGGGAGCACGATTCGGAACGATTCGGGAGCAGAAATGAGGCCGGCGCCTCAGCGAGAGCAGCATTTTAGAAAAAAACACAAGCGAAAACCCAACTCCGGGGAATCCTGTGTGTAAAAAAACAGTACGCGGGGGGGTGCCGAGTATCTTCCGGACGCCATCAGGGGAAGTGGGAGAGTATTTTCATATTGTGTAATTGTGGAGGAGGGGGAAGAGGGAGGGATGGATGGGCAGGAGGGGGGGAGGAGGGGAGGGAGGGAGGGAGGGATGGGAGGGTTGTCATCCCGCTGCCGCGCGAGTCAGCCGCTGCGCTCGGGCGGGGGGCGCCCTTGGGGCGCCCGCGGGGGGCACCCGAGCCTCTGACGTGAAACCACGCGGAGGAGGAGGAGGAGGAGGAGGAGGAGGTGGAGGAGGAGGAGGAGGAGGCGGAGGACGAGGAAGAGGAAGAGGAGGAGGAGGAGGAGGAGGAGGATGAGGAGGCGGAGGAGGAGGAGGCGGAGGAAGAGGAAGAGGAAGAGGAGGAGGAGGAGGCGGAGGAGGAGGAGGAGGAGGAGGAGGAGGCGGAGGAGGAGGAGGCGGAGAAAGAGGACGAGTGGAAACCCAAGACCCATCAACGATGTTGGGAAACAAACTCCCTCAAAGCTCCCTCTGTATAGGTTGCTACAAGATTTCATGCCTTCTGAGGGACGTGCCCCGTTAGGAGACAACAGTTTGAAGATCCTGAAGCGTACCGAAACACCAAAATCGGAACTTCAACGCCACGAATCAACCTGACGGTTGCGTGTTTACGATACGGAACCGTGCCAGAACACCATTCTTGGGACTTCCACACCGCGAATCAACGTAAGTGTTGCTGCTGTTTTGACAATCCTGAACCGTTCCAAAAACCATGTCTGGTACATTAACTATGAAAACCACTGAAGTTCTTGGATTGTGTGAAATTGATGTGCGCGGCTCTCAGGCGAGAGCCACCTTTTGAAAAGAATATGCCTTCAATCGGTGAAACTCCTGCAACGTTTTAAACGAAGGTGCGCGGCGCTACGACGAGAGCCACATTTTGAAAACGACCCGCCTTCAATATGTGAAGCTCTTGCAGCTGTGTGAGACGAATGTGCGCTGAGCGGAGGCGAGAGCAACATGAAAACACGGCTCGTCATCAATCCGTGACGCGTCTTTGTTTAAAAGAATGCGCGCGGCGTTCAGGCGTAAGCCACATTTTGAAAACCGCCCGCCCTCGACCCGTGACACGCCTGCATGTTTGTAAGACGAATGTGCGCGGCGCTAAGGCGAGAGCCACATGTTGGAAACAGCCCACCTTCCACCCGTGAAACAGTTGCAACTTTCAGATTTCAAGTTCATAGGTAGTAAGGAAGTCTCAGGCGAAACGCTTGGCTCGCCTTTTCGATCATATTCGACCAGCCTCGGGGCGCGACAAGGAGGAGCTACACATAAGGAAAACGAATGGAGGAGGAGGAGGAGGAGGTGGAGGGGGAGGAGGAGGAGGAGGAGGAGGAGGAGGAGGAGGAGGAAGAGGAGGAGGGACGAGGGGGGGAGGAGAGGAAGGAGGAGGAGGAGGAGGAGGAGGAGGAGGAGGAGGAGGAGGAGGAGGGGAGGGGGAGGAGGCGGTAGGGGAGACGGCGGAGGAGGAGGAGGAGGATGATGAGGGGGAGGAGGAGAGAATGCGGAGGAGGGGGAGGCGGAGGAGGAGGAGGAGGAGGACGGAGGACGGAGGACGGAAGACGGAGGACGGAGGACGCAGGACGAGGACGGAGCAGGAGGAGGAGGAGGAGAAAGACGGAGGACGGAGAAGATGGGGGAGGAAGAGGAGGAGGAGAAGGAGGAGGAGGATGAGGCTGGGGACCTGCGTAAACCCAAGACTCACCAACGCTGTTGGAATACACCCCCCCTCCAAGCTTCCTGATCATACGCCCCTACAAGGGTTCACTTCAACTGAGGGAAGTGGCTCGTCGGGGGACACCCGTGCGAACATCCTGGAACGTGCCAAAACACGATGCTCAGGACTTCAACGCCACGAGTCAACCTGACTGTTGCGTATTGACGGTCCTGGACTGTGCTGGAACACTATGTTCTTGGGATTTCAACACCGCGAATCAACGTAATTGCTGCACCCCGACAATCTTGAACCGTTCCAAAACACCATGCCTGGTACGTTAACCGATGGAAACAATTTAATGTTTACAATTTTGTGAAATGAATGTGCGCGGCGCTAGGGCGAGAACCACATTTCGAAAAGGAACTGCCTTCAATCGATGAAACTCTTGCAACGTTTTAGATGAGTGTGAGCGGCGCTAAGACGAGAGGCACATTTTGAACATGACCCGTCCTCAATCCGTGAAACTCTTGCAAGTGTTTAAAAAATGCGTGCGGCGCTAAGCCGAGAGTCACATTTTAATCACCACCCGCCCTCAACCTGCGAAACTCTTGCAATGTTTTAAACGGATGTGCGCGGCGCTGAGACGAGAACCACATGTTTAAAACCGCCCGCCTTCGATCCGTGAAACTCTTTCACATGTTTAGAACGAATGCACGCGGCGCTAAAACTGGAGCCACAGATGGGAAGCGACCCATCCGCCGTCTGCGAAGCTGTTGCCAGTGCGTGCGCTTCAGACTCATACATGGTAAGGAAGTCTCAGGCGAAACGCCCGGCCCGCTCTTCCGACTGCTCCCGGGGTGCGACAGGGAGGAGTTGATCATGAGGAAAAGGAGTGGAGGAGGATGGCGGAGGAGGAGGAGGAAGAGGAGGAGGAGGAGGAGCAAGGAGGAGTTTGGAGGGGGAGTGAGGAGGAGGAGGAGCATGAGGAGGAGGAGGAGGGGGAGGGAGGGAGGGAGGGAGGGAGGGAGGAAGGGAGGGCGTCTGTGTGTGTGTGTGCGTGTGTGTGTGTGTGTGTGTGTGTGAGTGGGTGAGTGAGTGAGTGAGTGAGTGAGTGAGTGAGTGAGTGAGTGAGTGAGTGAGCGAGGAGGAGGAGGAGGAGGAGGAGGAGGAGGAGGAGGAGGGAGGAGGGTTACGAGGCCTCGTTCCGCCTCAGAGGACTGACGATTTTCAAACATGATGGCTCGACCTACGCTCGGGAAGCTCATCCTTTCCATTCTGGATTGGCCTTTGGCGTTCGACGTCCGAAAGTGGGGTTTGGGATCCCCTGGGTCCTTCCACGCGACCGTTCTGTTCGAGGGTCCCTGAGCTGAGGGCTTCTCGACATTCGTGAGCACCCCGTGGGTCCCTCCGCCGGGGTTTTGCACGAGGACGCCCCTCCCGCAGGGTCCCTGGACACCGTGATGCAGATCCGCGAGCTCGCCCTCGCCACGGCCGCGCACGCAGGCGCCGCCCGGGCCCCGAGGAGGGAGGGCCGGGGCGTGGGGGCGGGGGGGGTAAGAGGGCAAAGGGGGGAGGGGGACGGAGGGGGGGGGAGGGTGGGGGTGGGGGGGGGAGGGGGCGAAGGGAGGGGGGACGAAGGGAGGGGAGGGGGCAAAGGGGGGAGGTGGACGAAGGGAGGGGGTAGGGGGGGACGAAGGGAGGGGGCAAAGGGAGAGGGGGGACGGAGGGAGGGAGGGGCGGGGGGGGGCGGGAGGGGGCGGGCGGGGGGAGGCTTGGTATCGCTCGGACGTGTGTATTTTTTCTCGGCGGGGGTTCTTAAGGGGCATCCTGGGAGCATCCTGCGGAAAAAACTATACGCACGAGACAGAAAAAAAGGCATGGAATGGACGTCCGAGCGACGGGGAAGCGGGGGTGGGAGGGGGCAAAGGGGGGAGGTGGACGGAGGGAGGGGCGGGGTGTGTGTGTGGGAGGGGGGAGGGCGGGCGGGGCGGGGGGGGGGGCGTCGAAGGGGGGGGAAAGAGAAAGATGCGATCGGGGCAAAGGGGGAAAGAGAAAGATGCGATCGCAGAGAGCAGCGGCACATCGCGAACGGGGGAGGAGCCGACCCAAGCGATTGAGAAGATCGACAGTGGTTGGGGTTGTTCCCTTGTTTCTGGTACATATCACGCGCACGCAGACTTTCGACACAGCCCACTGGCGACCACCACCGCTGACACATCTCATGAGCAACCAGCACCAACGACACCTCACTGGCAGCGAGCAGCATTGACGCATCTCACTAGCAGCCCATGCAACCGACACATCTCACAGGAAATTGCACGACCGAACCATCCCATCAATGACCCGCAGCATCGTCACAGCTCACCGTCGACGGGCACTAGCACAGCGTTTCACCATACCTCGCCGTGATCGAATTGGCTGGGTCGTGTGACCAGGCCGGACGTTGGTTCAGAGGACAACAGAGTTTTTAACCAAGTTTGTGAGAGGAGGACCTATATGGATGCGCAGGCACGACGGACCTGCTTCGTGGACGGCTCCAGTACGCAGCGCGGCCGGAGTTTGACCCGGTTTGGCGTTGACCCAGGCCAACGCGTCTTCGATCCAGGTTTTTTGTGGTTCAGCGTGTCTGTATCTCTCGCGGGGACCTCTGCGGCCATGAGCGGGGCAGCTCCGAAAAAGAGGTACTCCAACTTTTGTAATAAAGGGGGGGGGTCACAAACCTCCCAGACGAGCCATTTTAGACCCCCACCGTCTGGGGCGACCTCCATCAAAAAGTAGCCCCCCCAAGGACGTGCCAAGACGAGACGAGACTCCTTCGGGCATCAAACTCAGACCCGACCCCTGTCTCCAAGACAGGTCGAGCCAGACCCCCCCCCCCAAATCAGACCCCCCCCCCTTCTTATAAAAGTTGGAGTAGGCATGATGGCCAGGATGGTCCCAAGGAGGGACTTTGAGCGAGTGCGGACGGGCCAGTCCAGACGTCCTGGAGGTGTAGGTCCCCGTGGGGTGCCTCGTGCACGAGTCCGAATCCAGGCGGGGGCGTATACATCTCGGTCTCCTGTCTTCTGCTCGGGCCTCGGAGCCCTGCCAGCAGACTTGCCCGCGGCGCAAGACGAGGGCGGCGTCCCACGCCTGGGGCTTGGGGGGCCTGAGCTCCCGACGGCGGAGATCACCACCCACCAAACCACCCCAACCCAACCCGAAGGCCTCAATTTGCCCTCCATTTCCAGTGGGGGGGGGCAGAAAACACACGTGGTCCCCGTACCCCCCCCCAACCCGAAATTCGGGTCAAATGCGTGCCTTCGGGTTGGGTTGGGGTGGTCTGGTAGGTAGTCAGGAGACCGTTCGGGACGGAAAACGGCGTTCACTGTGACGGAAGCCAGAGCTGCAAGACACCACTCCTCGAGAAGCCCGACTTTTGAAGGCCCGCCAGGCGGGCGCGCACACCGGTCGGCGGCGACATTCGAACCTTGCCTTCGCCGATCAACGATTCAGGCATCTCGATGCGCGGCGGGGGTAGGGTTCGAAATTCGTCGAACACGTGGCGAAATCCTACCCCCGCCGCCCATCGCCTCAGGGGAATCGATGGTTGGTGGGGGTATACAAGAGTGGAGACCCATGCCAAGAAACACCCTGCTTGCCTCCAGGGTGCCCCGGGTTCCCTGGGCTTCGATGGTCTTGCCGTGGAGAGCGCGACGTTCCCACACCACAAATCAGTGGACGTCCTGGGGTCTCAGGGTTGGGCTTCTTGTGGAAGGCTCCTCGTGGACTCGCCTCCACTGTAGGTTGTAAGCACCGGGGGGGTCTGGGACGGTCGCGCACTTCATGGCAGGTCACCAGCTCGGCCATCCTCCCAGCCCCGCACCTCGGCCATCTTCCCGGCCCAGCACCTCGGCCATCCTCCCGGCCGCCGCGAAAAATCCGTCCCAAATCGGCCTTCGACCTGCCTCGCCCGGGGACTGCCAGGGCCCCCCGTGCTCGCCGCAAAGACGCAGGACCCCCCCCCCAGGGCTTACAAGCTGCAGGTCTCCATGATGCCTCCGCCTGGACCAGGAGGCTGGGGCCCAGGACGACCCTGGCGCCCCCGCGCACGGCGGGGGCGTGCATGGGCGCCTGCCGCTTGCCGCCGAAGGGCGCCCCCCGCGCCCCCCGCGCCCGGCCGCGCGCGCCCAGGGGCGGCCAGCGTGACGGCCTTGGCGGCGGCCTCCCGCGCGCTGCGCGGCGGGGTGGGCAGCCTGCTGTCGGAGTTCCCGGCGCTCTTTCCGTCCCAGGCCCCCTGCCTGGCATCGCTCGGACGTGTGCATCTTGCTTCAGGAGGGGGAGACAGCACACGGACACAATGAATCGTCGATTCCCAAGAAAATATGGGAAGATATGGGAAGTGGGGGGGGAAGACAGAAACCCAGAAAAAAATATGGGAAAGTATGGAGAATCTTTTTTTTTCTGTGTGTGTGTGTATTTCTTTGTGTGTCCCAGGGCCCCTTTATCTTTCTCGGCATGGACCATCGAGGCGTAGTCTGGGTCATCTTGGGCATACATGCGCGCACGAAGCCGACAAATGCACAGGGCATGGACGTCCGAGCGATGGCGAGCCCGCCGCCGCCGCCGCCGCCCCGAGCGTGGAGGGGGAGGGGGGGGCGGTGGGTCACGAGGAGGTGCGCTCTCGCCGCTCCCTGGGGCCGCGAGGGGACGGCCCGGGGAGAGCCCTGGGGGGTCGCGGGGAGAGCCCCGGACGGTCCAGGGCCCGTTTCCGCCGGGACCCTCTTCCCCAGTCGAGGTCGTCGCCCCTTCGTCGTCTCTTCGTCGTCGCTATCGTCGCCGCCATCGTCGCCGCTATCGTCGTCGTCGTCAACGTTGTCGTCGTCGTCGTCGTCGTCGTCGTCGTCGTCGTCGTCGTCGTCATCGTCGTCGTCGTCAACGTCAGCGTCGTCGTCGTCGCCGCCGCCGCCGTTGTCGTCGTCGTCGTCGTCGTCGTCGTCGTCGTCGTCGCCGTCGTCGTCGTCGTCGTCGTCGTCGTCGTCGTCGTCGTCGTCGTCGCTCACGCCGTCGCCGTCGTCGGAACTTGCTTCCCGATTTCTGGGCGCTCCTCCCGTCCATGGCCCAGGGGGAGGGAGGAGGAACAGGGGGAGGAGGAGGAGGCGGAGGATGAGGAGGAAGGGGAGGAGGAGGAGGAGGAGGAGGAGGAGAGGAGGTTGATGGCATTTATCTAAAGGCTGCCGCTTCTGCCGCCGACCCCAAATTGGGGTACTGTTTTCGGTGTTTTGTGTTGTCGTGTTCTGTAGCTAATGGGCGACGCCGAAGTTGCCAGGCGCATGGCTGCCTTTAGAGCTGCCCGTTACCTGGTCGGGCGGCTGTGGTACCACGTTGCTGGTGCACGGTCTTTGCGTTTGTTGCACTGGTGGGGAGGAGGGGGGGGGACGGGACAGCCAAGTATCTCACACCCCTTTCACCCTAGGCAAGCGAGGGTCGGCGAATTGTCTTGCGGATCCGAGTCCTACTTATACTCCTACTCGTCTTGCTCCTTCTGATGTTAATCTTTCTGCCGCTGCCACTCTGGCTGATAGTCGCGCCGATGCCGCGGATTTTTGCCCGTCTGCCAGGTTTTGTCCAGAGCTTTCGCGTCCTCTTCCTCCTCCTCCCCTCCTCGTCCGATTCTTCCACCCCTGAATCTTGTGCGCGGTAGTTCTGCTCCGCGTGGTCGTTCCCACTTGTGCATGCAACGTTTCTCGCGCGCTTGTGCGCGCATGCAGTTCTTTGTTTTGTCTCTCTCTTCCCGTTTTTTCCCGCAGTTGGTGTGCCCATGTTCTCGTCTGCGTGCCATCAACGCCAATCGTCTTGGAACGTCGCCCATTTGGGTGCCCTCCGTGAGAGTGGTGTCGCTTCGCCAGAGTAAAAAAAAGGTTCCGCGAAAAAATCGCCCGTTGTTTGTGCCAGCCGGGGGCCTTTGGCGCGGTCTGCTTCGAGGCGTTCGGCCGCTTCCCGACCCTCTCGCGCCATGGAAACAATTGCGACGAGAGGTTTTATAATATTTTCGGGTTTCGGGGGCCCTCGCCGGGCCCTGGGACCGTCGAAAAACGATTCAGGACGAAGATCCGGTCCAGGGACAAGTTCCGGACCCCTGGGGGCCGACGTTGGGAAAAAATGAGGCGTCGAGAGCCGCGGAGGGCGCAGCCACGTCCCTGTCGGCCATTCACTGGTACGGTTGGCCAAGGGCCGTTCGGGCGTGCGCACGTGATGCGCGCGCGCGTGCGTGCGCGCGTGGCAACTGATGCGATTGCCCACGCATTTCGACGACACTGCGCGTCCGCATGTCCGCTGAGAAAAAGTGCGCGTGTGTGCGTGTGTGTGAGTGCGCATGGGGTTGAGGTCTCCGCGCACCCCTATGGGCGAGGCCGCGGGCCCCCTGCCGCCCGGCGGGAATTCATGTCGCAGCAGATCCACAGGGGGCTTCTCGCCAGAGGGAGGAATTCATCCGCAGAGGTATTGGTTTGTGTGCGTGGGTGGGTTCGATATTTATTTGGTGTGTGTGGTAGTTGTGCGCGGCGTGGTGCGTTCGTGCGTGTGAGTTATGTTTGGCGTCTTTTTTGGGGGCAGGTGCGCGTAAAGTGCACCGGGGCCCAGGCCGAGGCAGCAGAGCCCAGAGCAGCGCAGTGGCAAAAAATCCTCCTCTCCCTCCTCCCTCCTCCCTCCTCCCTCCTCCTCCTGCTCCTGCTGCTCTTCTTCTTCTTCTTCTTCTTCTTCTTCTTCTTCTTCTTCTTCTTCTTCTTCTTCTTCTTCCTCCTCCTCCTCCTCCTCCTTCTCCTCCTCCTCCTCCTCCTCTCGCAGAGGCCGCGAGAATTTGAGCCGCATCGAGGAGGGCAAGTACCCTCGGAGGGAAGGGGTGCCGAAAGCCTTGCTGCAGGCCCTCGATGTGCGCGATTTCGGCGGCCAGGCGAGTGCTGGTCCGGCCGCGGCTGAAAGAGGCGAAAGCGGGCCGTCCGCCTCGGCAGCTAGTCCCCCCCCCCCTTGGGGGGCGGTTTGAACGACTGTTTGAGGCGCGGCGGCGCCGCGGCTCGGGTCCCGGCCCGTGTCGTGGCACTCCCGTGTGGGGTGCGTGGTTCGTCTCCTTCCCCTTTCCCTCCCTTCCCCCTCCCCTCCTCCCCCCTTTTATGGGCGCGAGTGCGTGGACTTGGTCGAGCGCCTGGCAGATCGCGCGGCAGGCGGGCGCAGAGCGCAGTTCGCTGAAGTGGGCACGCGGCAGAGGAGACGCAGAAAGGTGGCCTTCCGAGACGTGGCCATGTTGTACGGGCTGCGACCGAACGTGCCCGACCTGTGGCACTTGTCGCCGTACGAGTTCGCGACGTTCTGGACGCCGGCGTTGGCGTCGTGCCCCGCGAGACTCGGGGATGCGGACCATCCCCGGCATCGCGCCGTCTTGACGCAGAAGGGCAGGGGAAAGGTGCGCGAGAATTGTAAGAACCCTAGATTCGAGCAGGACCTGGAACCTGGGGAGGACTACGTGGTGAAGGAAGGAGGAGGCGTGGATTGGGTGCCTTACCCAGAGACAGACGGGTGCGCCCACCTTCGTCACATGTGGGTGCTCAAGCGGAACAAGAGACCCAAGGCACCAACCTTTTTCGGAGCGCCCGTGCCCCGCGGACGTCCTGGAGAAGCGGAGCGATCTGCGCGCATTGTCATGACGCACTTCCACCCGTGGACGTTGAGGCCCGACGCGGCCGACGCGCACGTCGTGTTCGCAGGGAGCCTGCGCGGCGACGCGCCGACGTGGGGCGCGGCCGCGGTGGCGTGGCTGGACGGCGGTGCAGACGAAGGAAGCCGCGCGGTACGCGGGCAACTTCCTGAGCGCGCACCGCGTCCGGCCACGAGACACTGAAGAAGCGGGGGGCGGGGCCGACGAAGACGTGAGCGACGAGGAGTTGGACGTGGGCTTCGATCAGCTCGACGAGGCGCTGAAATCCCGCGTGGGCGGGAAGAGGCGCGAAGACGGCGACGGAGACAGCAGCCGCGAGGAGGGCGACGTAGACCCTGGGCAGGGAGCTGGAGGCGTCTCCCATCACGAAAATTCGAAAGGGGGCATGAGCGTCGCGCGACAGGTGCGGGGGCTTCGCGATGGCGAATCGCCGTTGAGCGAGATCCTGGGCGCATGGCCCGCAGAGGAGGCCTGCGACGTTGAGCAGGTACTCAGGGAGGCGCGCAGATCTCGGAACAAGGAGCATTCCATGGCGGACCGACTGGCGGAGGCTGACGGCGCAGTTTTCGTCGCGGGGCAGGCCGCAACCTCGGAGGACGTTGGCGCGTGGCTCAGGGACCTCGAGTTCCGGGTGGACAAGCAGACGGGGCGGCGCGTTGTGAACGCGAAGCAGTTCGAGATGGTGAAGAAGGTGGCGAATCGAGTCATGCGCGAGATAGACGGCGAGGGAAGTGAGGGCGGCAGCATGGGGGAGCCGCTGCAGTGGTGCATGCACGGGGGCCCTGGTACCGGCAAGTCGCACGTGCTTCGCATTATTCGTCATGAGTTGTTTGAGAAGGTGATGAATTGGACAATCGGAGTGCACTTCCAGATAACCGCCCTGCAGGCCGTCATGGCTCAGCTGCTGGGAGGCGACACCATCCACCATGCGCGTGGCATTCCGGCCATCAAGCGGGGGGAAGAGAAGGGGGGGGAGGACGTGAAGCTGCAGTACGAGACTGCGAAGCGACTGCTCCAGTGGAGGTGGCTCTTTATCGATGAGATCAGCATGGTGAGCGCCAGGCTGCCAGCAGAAGTGGACGCGAAACTTCGCGGGGTCATTCGGGACGTGGGCGCGACGAAACTCGCCGACGATGGCGTTCCACGCCCGTTCGGCGGCCTAAACGTCGTGCTGAGTGGTGACTTCTGGCAGCTGGCCCCCCCTGACGGAGGCTTCCTCGCTGACGTCCCCACGGAGCGGATTTCGGCTGCGCGCAGGTACACGTCGCTGCCACCCGTGTTGCACGGGCAATCGCTACTGTGGGGCGGAGCCGAGTGTGGGATTCAGGGCGTGACAGAGCTGGAAGAGTGCGAGCGATGCGACGGCGCCTGGTTGAAGGAGGTGCAGGAGGAATTCCGAAGAGGGTCGCTGTCGGCGGATGCGCACGCATTCTTGCACGGCCGGCATACCACCGTTCCTGGGAGCTGGTTGGGGGGGGACGCATGCTGCGGCAATCGGGCGTGTCGGGAATTGTGTAGTGGCGGAAGGGATGCAGAGTCGTCAAGCGCGGGGCAACGACGGAAACGGCCCGCAACGCCGAA